TATATTGATAAATAGCTCAAATACTTTCATTAATCATTCATTTTCACTTTCATCAATTTCTTTTGATTGTTTTAGTACTAAACGTATATTATTGGCATAATAAATGTCGAATAACTTTTGATATAGTTTGATGATCAAATTGATGATTATAAAATGAAAATCAACTATTTTGTTGCTTATGAAAGTTGTAATTGTACTTCAGTATTTTGAATATCAATGTCAACCTTTCATTGTGCACGAAGGATATCAAAATTTTTTATTGCTGTATATCATTCACGCTAAATTATATAAACTTCAGGGGCATTGACTGCTGCACAAAATGAGAGTTCATGTAAAAGACGACCTATCGTAACTGGTTTTTGTGATATTGAAATAAATTTCACCAGTTTAATCGCTGCAATATTTTACTTCGAAAGAGAATAAAATAATCTTAATTCACAACTACAAATATTTATATAATGATAAAAGATGAAAAATAGTTCAGAAGAAAAACATCAATATAATAACAACAACAGCAAAGAGGAGAAGATCAACAAGAGAACATTAAAGAGGATGAGAAAAATCAATAGTAAAGAAAGTATAGAAGAGCAGACATCATAGAATAACATCTCTTAACACTGGTACGTTTCATTATTATCTCAGATATGTTCACTCCTTTGTCTATACTATGAATCGATAGTTTTGAAAGACAGCTCGGCATACGTACTTGAGCATAACAAATTGCTCAATGAATTCACCGTCATTCGTTGTCTTGAATGTTATTCTCACGAATTCGAAAATTATTGATGCCTTTTTTTATTGAGACGATGTTATGATCTTTTCAGCAATTAATCAAAAAGGTACTATTAATGCATATATATGCACATTTGGTTCTAGTTCAGTCTTGTATATACATTCTTTTCTGGCATAGATTTTGTTATTCTTACTCAAGATCAATCTTCCAGATTGTTTTTAAATTTGGACATCTCATATGAGTTCCAATGAGCGATAGCATAAATCTTTTGAATATGACAGAAAATCATTTTGTCTTCTTTTCATTTATATTTAAATACGGAATATATTTTGTCCAGTTTGAGTAAGCGATAAACAATACGAAATATACCAAAGAATTGCATCAGCGTTGCGAAAATAACATCATGCATGTTAATCATTATGATTAGTGAATCATTAAAAAACAAATTTCTTCATAAATGTGAATCACCTATAGTCATGTAGATATTGATTGAATTGCTCAAACACGTAAGCTTTTATAAATTGATTAATGGTCAGATAGAAGCTTGAACTTTCCATTTATAAAAACTAGCAGCACCAATGCAGATACCAAAAATTTTATGTAGACATTTGAATGCAAATAAACTAAACCATTATTCACAAATGAGTAGTTAAATATAGAATTGTATGATGCAAAGTCATTTCCTATCAATCTTGAAGTACCAATATGGCAAGAGTTAATTTTAATGAAATATCTATTTGAGCTTCTTGAAATTAGCTGTTTATTTATATCATCCTTGACTTTTCATGTTTAGATGTATTCAAAATATTTGCCATGCTGATAATTAAAAGAAAATGTATAGTTAGAAGACGAAAGCCAAAATGTAAACAACAACACAACATTTACTCTTGTATCGTTTGTCCCTTAATAATACTTTTCTGATGATTATTGCGGATGTCATACAGTTTGAAATTTGTAACAGAAATCATTACTAGGAAGGAATCAATCAGAATACTTTTATCATTATATTAAACATACTAACATATGTCGATATAAATTATTGAGCATCATGTGATAAAAAAAAACAACCTAGAATGTACTTTTATATAAGCATAAGATTTCACACTTTAGACATCTTCTTCCATGTTTTTCTTTATCACATTGTCTAGCTTTGTACCAAATTGAATAAACCGGTTAACAAAAACGATACAATAGATAAACAAATTCACATCAACGTCATTAACACAGTATATACAATGTATACTCTTTCAAAGACAACAATATATTCCTTTTTGTATTGTTTCTTTTTCTCCTTCTCTTATTTTTCTAAATATAAATTTGTATACCATTGTATAGGCAACAGAATTGAATGTGTTATTATACACGTATTATATTTTATTTACGCATGACTTTGTTATATTCTATATTTATTTCAAAATGATTCATTTTAATTATATGGAGAGAACACAAATAGCAATACCAAAAAAAGAAAAATATCCTATTCAGCAATTTTGTGAAAGGTAATCAAGTAAACAAATATATTTTCCTTGGACATGTATAATTTGTTGAATATTAAATTCTCAAAGTAGTAATGATATTTTTTTAATATGTTTATTAGTAATTTTCTTGCCCATCATATAATAAATAGGACAATTATCCGTATAAATAATTATATTACGACTAAATAAAAAAGATCTCACTCAAGTAATACATTTGAAAATTGCCAATGCTTTAAGTTCAATATGATGATAACGTTTTTGTGATGATGATAATAATTCGAAATAATAATAAAGTATTTTTTTAACATTATTAATTTCTTGATAAAGAATACCACCTAATCCCACCTTAGATGCATCAGTTGATAACAATACAGGTTGTGTATCATCTGGAAAATTTAAAAGAAGTGGATGAGATGCTAATAATTGTTTTAAATCATTAAAAGATTTTGATTGTTCAGGTACCCATTTAAATTTATGTCGATGTGATTTCAAAAGATTGATTACAGCATGAACAGGTGTTGCCATACTTGCAAATTGTGGAATAAATTTTCTGTACCATGATAATGCATCAATGAAGCGATTTGCTTGTGCTAATAATCTAGGTTCTGGTAATAAAATAATAGATTTAATTTTATCTGTTAAAGGAGTAATTGTTGTGGAATTAATTACATGTCCTAGATATTCAATTGTTTGTTTAGCTATTTCACATTTTGTTGAATTTAATGTTAAATTATGTGATTGTAAAGTATTTAAAACTTCTTCAAAGTGAATTAAATGTTCATCATAAGTACGAGAAAAAATTATGATGTCATCTAAATAAACTAAGGAGAAGTCAGTACATAATGATAATAGATTGTTCATAATACGTTGAAAACTTGGAGAAGCATTTCGAAGACTTTGAGGGAGAACATTCCATTCATATAAACCAAATAGAGCGATGAATGCTATTTTAACTAGATCTTTTTCATCAATAGGTAATTGCCAAAACCCTGATTTTAAATCAAGTTTAAAAAAAATTGATAACCTGCAGCTAGTGTTTGTAAAGTTATTTCCATATTTGGAAGAAGATAATTATCTTTAATTGTGGATTATGTTTTTCAGGATAACCTTTCCATGCAATTAAATATTCTTTTTTACTATTGCGAAAAAGATGATTGACAATACGTTCAACAATAAATATTTCACCTTCAGTAACATCTAATACGTGTTGTTTTTCTTCATTAGCAGCATTCATAACATGAATTTTTTTTTAAATTTTTTTTTATTTTTTATGCTAGGATCGCCAATTGTTAAGGTGTATATTTAGTTCAAAATGTTTTTGAACTTGTTTTATTGCAGATTTAAAATACACGCTTAACAACAATAATAATAATAATAATAATAACAAAAGAATGAGAGTAAACAAGAAGAGAAAACATAACCAATAAAAAAGAAGAGTTACTATCAAGATATAGATGGTGAGAGAGAAGAAACATAACGATTATGATATTGTGCATAAACACATATCATAACAGCATCCCTTAAACAAGTCGTTGACGATGTACAACTGTAATATCCATTTTAACTTTAACTTGACTATAATCATAATTTGTTGTATTAAGTAATACATACATTGAAGATTCTTCTGATTGTTCTTTTTCTTCAACTAAATATTCTTAAAAAGATAAAAATTCAGAGAGTATAAAATAAAAATTTAATTCTTACTCAACGAGTTCCCAAGTCCACCTTTACAAATTTTTATTTTTCCCTGGACATTTGATAATAGTATGATTGTTGTTTTTTGCCAGTATTTCAGATAAATAACTGGATACTTTTGATCACGAGAAAGTTGCTGTTGTAATACTGATGTTAACAAACTTTAAATGAGAAAAAATAAAATATAAATGAATATAGTATTTGATCTTTTATCAAACATGTCATATGTCCACCAAATATTTTACCAAGTGCTGAATATTTATTTGTTACGCTAATTATCATTCAATCAAGTTCAAATACGATTCGATAAAAACAAATACTATAAGTTTTGACTACATCATCACGAATCCTTTTAACTAATTGTTGTTTCTTTCGACATCGAGCTCCAAACTCTGCTGATGGTGGATCTTCAGCAACCTGTTCAAAAGCTTTATCAAATCTTCTAATCACATAATTTAATGGAAATTTTCCTTTTTTGATTGAGACTGTTGAACTTGTTAAAGAATTATCGCACAATTGATGAACCATTTGATCAAGTGATAAATTAGTAAGTTATGAACGATTTGTATTCGATAGAGGTAATATCATCTGGTGTCACAAATCAACATCGTCATATTCACTATCAATATTTGAAATCATTAAAACATGATAAATTATTGGATTGATAAGAATGCAATTGTTGTATAAGTATATTAAAGTTAACAACGATAAACCATCAATTTCTTCTTCTGAAACAGATAAAAAAAGACTCGATTATTAGATAGAGAGTAAATCGTCGATCTCTTTAAATTCGTTTACGTATTTATCCAATCCATTCTTCATCAACGATGTAGAAACATCTTCGTTAGCCCACTCCATGGATTATTTATCCAAAGTAGATTATAAAAAAGAAAAAAATGAGATAGATACTTTTAGTTTTTCTAAGCTCATCAATGAACAAACCAACAGATAAGATTTGAAAACATGTGGAATATATATCATCATAAAAAAAATACAAGAAACTTATTCAACAAGTAGTAAACGATAAGATAAACGAATGAAACATGTATAATTTGAACGATAGCAATCTTCTGCTTCATGTGTTAAAAACTCATATTCTTATCTATTACCATATAGACATCTGATGAACGGACTTCACAGCACTACAAATTTTGTTAAAATGCTACCGTATCTTAACAATCAATCGTAAATCTCCGTTCTTTTCCGATATTAATAATGTGTTTAATTTTAACCAATAATGGTATTTTTTCTCCATCTAATAAATAGAAAACAAAAAAAATCTTCAATCTTGTATTTGACATTGTTTATCACCACCCATTTAACACATTCTAGAATTTCACCATAACTGAATAAATAATCATTTGGTAACGCATTTAATATTATTTTTTAAACTTATTGTTCGTCGTGTACGAGATTTACTACTAATACTATTAATTTTTTAATATATTTTCGCCCAATAGTTCCATCAACATTTATAAAACAAATTGTACATTGTTGTACACGATTAAGAGACATTCATTCACAAGAAAATTAAAAATACAAAATTGAATAAATAAATTATAAATAGATAGAATACTCATAATGCTAAAAAATATGAACAAAAAATATTTCTGATACACGACTGGCTGTTCTATCATCTTTTTTCTATACCAAAATGATTGACCCCATAGAATAAAAACATGATAACACGACGACGAAGAAGACGACGAAAATGAAATCGAAATGAACAAGAGGAAAATAAAAGACCAATGCACCGTATACAAGGGGGGAAAAGCGACACTCCGTACTTCTGAAGTACGAGTGAAGTACAGTGAAGTACGTGAAATACGAAGTCTCGCTTTTTCCCCCTTGACCGTGTATGATCATATGATGTATATTAATCGATACAAAAGTAGAAATTTCCAAGATAGAACGAAATAGATAAATAAATAGCTAATGGATAAAAAAAAATTATTGATCTTCTAACAAAATTTCATTTGGAATTCATAACTTGAAAAATGTTTTAAGGTATTTTATCTCTCTTATAACAAGAAAAACTTTCATAATGTGCGAATCATTTTTTTAGAGAATAAATTTTATATACATTTGGACATCCGGCAAATGTACTGCAACAATTAACGTTGCAACAAGAATAAATCTTTTTATGCTAACTATTTAGATTGAAATGCATCAAGTCATTCTTCTGTTGATGTCAAAAAGAGATCATCGATAGACATGAATAATGACGTCAAGTTTGTTTAGACATAGCAATTGTACAATTCTTGCACACTCTTGTTTATTTATAGCATTTTTTATGTTTTCATACTAGTAGGATATGAAAACCAAATTATTATTCATGTGCGAATCTACTCGGTGATTTATTTCATTTAAATAATGCAATAAAACGTAGGAGAGTCATTAAATTTGTAAATGAAAGATCTTTGTATTTAATCACAATATGAATTTATTTTATGGCAAAGATTATATATTACATATCTAATATCGTGATCAATAAAATTAATTGATTTTCTAAAATAGTTTTAAGAAACATCTCGTAATTAATACAACAAATTTCTTCAAATCGAAATTGATTTTCGAATTTTATTTACACTCAATGTTAATTATCTATCTTTTAACAAATGAATTTTTTCGAAAATCAAATTGAATCGCTATGATTTAGAAAATTAAGCATTTTTGAATATTTAAAATTCGACGAAAGATTATAAAAGTTTGAAAATGCTGTAACTTTTGTAAAATCAATCTTCTAGAAAAAAGAATTTAAAAATAACTTACAGAGCATGCGTATGAAAAAAAACGTGCTTCATCATTACATGTTATTTTTTCTTTCTCATTTCTTATCTTACAAGGTATTACCATTGTGCTTTTGATTGACACAATTTGCATTTTTCTTGACAGTTCGAATGATCATTTATCTTATTATCTACCTATTTTAAACTGTACTCAACAAAAAAAGAAACGCTCTAGCGAGAATTATATTTCTTTTGGATGTACTGGATTTTCTTCAATACCATATGTTTCAAAAATATTATTTTTCTAATTAGATTCATTAGAAGAGTTAGGTGTTAATTATCCATTGAGAAATGTTTGTTTGAAAATATCCTCAACTTGTCGTTCTTACAAATATTTGTCCTTGGTAAAAACGTCCTTGAGCAATAATCCCTCATATGAAAATGCCCATCATTCTCAGCTGCTGTTTTTTTAAATATATTAGAAGTGAAACATGAACTGAGGATGTAAATCGTCTACTAAGCGTCTTCACTTCGAAACCCTTAGCAAAGAAAATTATATGATCCTTTAAGCAGCAACCAAACTACGACCCAAGAATTATTATTGGGATATTCGCTATTTGCTACAAATGAAAAATAAAATCAAGACAAATTGATTATAAGAAAATAAACTAAGGTACCAGAAATCCATAATTAAAGCGGAGTTTTTTTCATTTTTTTTTGAATACGGTGGAATAGAACGTGACGAGCTAATCAAGAATATTGATATTTTCATTTTTTTGCAATGAGTTTTTTGGGGAGAAATTTCCGCTGGGGTGTGGATGTGGGTGTTGTTGAAGCGAAAACTAAGAAGAACAGCCAAGTCCGACCCTACATTCACACCCATACTTTTTTTTCAAAGCAAGACTCGTAAGAAATGCGATGATATCTTATTCTATTCAGGATTTTTTGCTCATTAAGATGTTGCTCTTAAAAAGATTTGATTCATACAATCTGCAAGAACGTAAAAAACACGTTGTTTAACTTTCCAAAAATTTTTCTTTTATAGTTTATATAGAAAATTTCGACTATGGAATCCATTTGACAAACAATTTCATTGACTATTCAAAACATTATACGAAAAAAAATCTCTTTTTAATCTAAATCGGACAAATCACAACTGGAATACTTTATGACACTTTGTGAAAGAAAAGAAAAAAAAGAGAAAGTGAGAGAAGTGTTTGCTTTACTTCTTATGCAACACAGAGAGAGAAACCGAGGAAGCGAGAAAAATGACTCAGTGGGGAAAAAATGGCCTTGTCAATAAGTACAGAAATTGGAAATAGGTCACTATACTGCATAAAAAGCTCCTACAGCTTACATTTATGCTAAAACACAATTTTTTGCATATTCGATCGTAAGTAATGCTATTCAACTTTTATTCTTCGTGGTACGTCTTCATCCTTAATGATTATGAATCTTTCATTTTTCAGACAAAGATATTCTTGATTTAACGCCTATTAATAAATTTAAATTAGATTTTTACATATACGACTTCTAAGTTTTATTTTATTTCTTTTATATTGATCAATAAAATATTATACAGATATGATACTATCGATAATTAGTTGAGCAATCAGTTAGATTCTAAATTATAGTGGATTATCTCCAGAAAAAAAGTTGATAATTGTTAATCAACATATTTTACGAAAAATTACATAAAGCTCTGTTGCTATTGTCTAATATATATTTTTTTCTTTCAAATATCCACGTCTATAGTTTGTTCTCTTCTTATAATTGTCTCATCATTGGTCATCATAATACCATATTCGTAGGGACATTTTTTTCTCACTCTGCGAGCGATTCACAGAACATTTCTTGTTTACATAATAGGGATTTTTATTTCGTATTATACCAGAAATTACCACTTATCGTAAAGAATAAGGAAGTACTCCTTATGAAGAAATTCACTCCATATAAATCGGTATCATATGATTTTTCTTTATCTGTCATCTGGACAGACAACCAATAGGAATATTAGGATAAAACATAATGTCTAGATTTTGTTTTTTGTCGTATGATTACTGTAACAATAATCTTATTTTAGTGAAATATTTGATTTATTGTTCTTTTCTCTTCTTATATTATACAACAACAACGTCATTAAATATATATATTGATATTAGGTGAAAACAGATACTTAAACCTACTCGCAGCCTGTATACCTAACGATAAGATAACTAAGTAATTACAAATACTCGGTATACTTGAGAACACAACATTATTAGCAATAATGTACGTTTAATAATAACGGCTGTTACATTAAAAAGAAAAGAAAAGAAAAGAAAAGTAATTTGTTTTAGTGTGCGTGGAAGAACAGAATAAAAGAGACACTGCTTCAATAAAAAGATGGTTTACTGCATGTATATAACTATTGTATACCTGTACAGATGCTCAGTTTCAACAGCATGCACTCTTTCATTGTAAGTAACTATTAATATTTGAGTATTAGTAAAATAAGTTCGAACTGTTGTTGAACTCGATCATGTTACTAATGGATAGACGTTTCAAATATACACTTAAGATATGCTATGCCAAGCTATTATATTTAAAAATCATTGATGAAAACATCAAATATAATTTCAATTGATCTAATCGAAGGCATCCTTAGCTAGACCCAGAGATCATTATCGGCACCGGAAACCTTTCATCAGATTTTCAAAAGAATTATTACCCTCGCCGAATATTTTGTTAAAGAAAACACCTGGTGTAAGATCTTGTGAATGGAGGTTTGCAAAATCTATCGTTTAGTAGTATTTTCGA